CTGTCATGTGTAGAAGAGAATAATCACTTATGAAAATTAACATGCTAAAAAAATGAATGCTATTATATAGTTAGCGCTCAGAGATTTCCTTCCCATATCTTTGAGCAGTCAATGTACATCCTTTAACCTCGTAGAGAGGCATATGCTTGTTCAAAATGAAGACAGCCTAGTGCAAGGGTCGGCAAATTTTTGAGTCAGAATAGTCAAAAATTACAATTCACAAAATTTCAAAGTTTTTGAAAAGCCACATATTTTTCTTGCCAAAAATAAATAGTACTCGCATAAATAATATTTACATATGGAACTATATAAAGAACAGAAGCTTCACATCCAAAGAGCCGCATGTGACTCGCGGTTGGACTCGCGGACTAATGGTTCTCTCTACAAAAAATGCCTCTTTGCGGATCAGTGTTTAGATTCAATATTGAATCATCACTGCAAAGAACGTTGACTCACTATTACTGTCTCCATAATTGATATAGACAACACCAGTTCAAGTGGTGCCTTTTTTGTTTTTTGTGTTTCCTGTTTTCCTTGTTCAATAAATTAAATTTTTTATTGTGTGTGTAAAATATTAACTTATTTGATATTCTACAAAGGTTTGCTAATTTTAGGGAGTTTGGCTTCAAAACATTTACTCATATAACTTTTATACATAAATATTTGATCTTATATTGTAAATTCCTCTTTATCTAATGAATAGATGAAAGTGTGTTTTATTCTTTCTCCAAGAATCTAATATTACAGGAAGAAAAAGCTACAAGATAATCCGATGGACTGATTACAAACACGTCTCTCCGTGCAGGTATAATTTAGTGAAGTTTTGGACGCCTTCCTGAAACTATGCTGCCTTAATCCGCCAGCTAAATATTTGGCGTCTGCTTCCAATCCATAAAAGATGAGGCAGCCGATCTAAACTAGAGGATTAATTGCAAGTCTTGTTAACTCAATTGGGGTGTCTTCTGCTTTATAATCAATGAAGTTTGTTTCTCGTAACACTAACTGAATTAGTAGATAAGGCTTTTTATAACAATCCCCTGATAAATGACATTAGAAACACTTCTCCTCAATATATTATTATTATTATTATTATAAATACAATTTTTATTATCTACTTTTATGGTCTTTTAGAATTACTAATTTTGGCTCGTTATGATCATGGGTTTAATTTTTATGGGCTTATAATTACTTCTTTTGGCTTGTTTTAAACCCTTGAATATATTTTAAATTCAATTTATTATTTCAATCTACAAATATTTCGTTTATATAAACCAACTTAGATTACTACTAATTTCATTAAGTTTGTTCTCGCGTATGTTTACATTCATTTTGATGGATATTTTTTAAAATATTTATTACAGCAATGGGAGGGCCTGGCTCAACAGTGGTGAACCCTACTAGCGGTTTTAAGCCAGGGCTTTCCATTAATTTATCATTGAATTAACGGCAGAAGAAAATTGTTCAATTATAAAAATAATCATACGCGTCTAAAATAGTTTTAATTCATTTTAACAGATGGCGGGATAATGCATAATATAGTATAATTTTATAATACAATATAATGTGGTTTATGATTGTAGAACGACGTTTAACAAATAATTTTATAAATCATCCTTTCATTTTTTATCCCTAAGGATAGAAATAGTTTTTATTCCTCCTAAAAATAAATTACGATTTTCAGTTCAAAAGAAACATTTGCGGTAAAATTTGCCAAACGTCGTTCTATAGTATAAATCTGTTTGATGTGTAAAAGAAACATTCGTGCCTTAATTAATTCTTTATCAATGTTGCAGCTAAATAAAATTAATTTTATAACAACATTATCTATTTTGAGATTTATTAAAATAACATAGTGTAGAAATATCTCTCTGATATTTTATTAAAATATTGAGGCTGCCTGGCCGGCATTCATATTTCTTCAAATAAAAGACACTTCGGCCAGTAAATCTTTTTATTACCTCGATGTTTCGACAAAAATCTTTTGTCCTCGTCAGGAGCAAACAAAAATTAAACATTTAGCAAGGCGTTAAAAATCTTTCTAAAGTTCCAAGGGCGTTTTGTCGAAACGTCGAGGTAATAAAAATATTTACTGGCCGAATGTCTTTTATTTGAAGGAATTAAAATCTGATTTATAAAAAATATTATTCCCTCGCTTTAGATGATCGTTCTTTAATTACTCTAAAATGTTTTTTTTTAAGCTTATCCCTAATACACGTGGTACAGGCCATGATAATCATGGTGGGCAAAAATAGGCGACTGCTTTTAATGTAAGTGCACCACATGTCTACACATGTAAAATTTAGTTCGACTTTGCACTTACAAATGTGTCAGAACCCTGTTTGATACTCGTATTCGCTGGTAGGGTTAGACTTTTGCAAGAATCGTGGGGCCATTGGAGCGTTTTTTTAAAACAGAAAAAAGTGTCCAATGCGGATTAGATCCCGGGTCGAAGTGGTCGAAAACCAACGGTTTAGACAATCCTTCTACCGACCCCCTATCTTAAATGTGAGTTGATCAAAGGATGAATATAAAAGACTTTCTAATAAGGGCCACCAGATTTTACTATCCATCAATATGTCTGAAATATATGGAGAGATCAGGTACAAGATGGTGTCAATTCAACTTTTTCGCTTTTCTCAGTCTTTTTATTTCTTTAATACCTATTATTAAAGTCCTAATAAATTTGATCTTAATGTAATCAATGTGAACTTGTTTCCATAAAGAACTAGATTTATATGTATGCGAGTTCTAATTAGTGTGTGTAATTATTTTGAAAGAACTCGTATTATAATAAAAAAAATTATTCCATTTTTTTTCAAAATGATCAGTTTATATAATGAAGAGGGTTGAAGTGATTATGGCTATTTAAAATAACTAACCTCTGTCATTTTGAAACGAACTTAAATGTATATACATAGTTAAGCGAGGGTTTTTGATTATTCCAGAATACCATCGAAGGAGTTTGTCCATGATATAATTTAAAGGGGATTACGGTAATATTTCCATCATTTGATTTATGATCCTTTTGAATCGAGAGCTTTGCATTATAAGATGATCGTGCTGATAAAGAATCAAGAATTTATTATTTTGATCCAAGTAGAGATAGAGAGAGAATATCGGAAATATTGATTTGGTGTAAACGTAGAAATAGACCTCAATCAAAGAATCAATAGATTGAGATGAAGGTTTCACACAAGGGAAGAATCTGAATTCAAGAAGTTCAGTGAACAAAAATGGTTATTTGATTCAAGTTGTCTAATGGGCAATGGCTAAACCTGATGTTCTCTATCATTAGAACAATGATTTTTTAAGGATACCCTGCAGGTAATATAAAGCTTTATTGAGAGTTTAAATCACGCAAAGATTAGATATCAGTTCAAGATAATCAGAAGACGAATCAATAGGTTGTCTTAAAGGTTGTCTCGAAGGTGACTGAAGAACATAATAAGAACAAACTGAAAATAATCAATTTCAGGGAGGAATTCTGGAATTAGAAATAAAAGGATTGATGTTGGCTAATGAAGGGATATGAATTAAAAAACAATTAACCAATCTTTAAAGTTAGAAATTTGAATAAAAATGCCAAAAAGGAAAGATTTTTAATTAAAACTAATCCTTAACATTTTATATAGAAGGCAATTCAAAATTTACGCTCTGATGGCCTTAGATAGGTCTCTCAACTTAGCCAAAGAATACAGCACAAGAGTGCAAAGATACCAAGCGTATCCAACCTTGTATAAATTCTCATAATAGGGAATATAGCTCAGGGCCAACTTACACGGATGAGAACATTAAAAACCTGACAAACTTTAAAACTAAACAATATATTGGGTACTACAGTATGAAAATAAAACCTACAACTGTACTCACTAAGTACAATAGGCAAAACACTGAGAACATCATTCACCTAAGAATCCATTTCGATCAGCAGCCAGAATCACTTTCAAAATCCCGTAGTCAAATGTAAGAATGGAACACTCGCTTATATAACACACACATACTACACACTCTTTTTTATCCTTGATTAATCAATATATATATATATGGAAGCAATGGTCGCCTCTCCCGTCAAAATAAACGTCAGAATCTGACGCCATCTATTGACCGTCGCCGCAACTAGCGGCATCGGGTCGGTGACAAAGCCACAACACCAACTTTGGCAAACTGATAAGGGTCCACCTAGAGACCATGGTTTCGGGCTAATGGCCCTCGTCAGTCTAGGGCGGATTTTATTCCACGAGATCCACACGGGATCTAATGGAATCCTCACAATCTACCAAAGAGGTGTTTTGCTGGCAATGTGGCTGGGCCAAATCTATTGGCAAACCATTCTGACGTTTATTTTGAATGGAGAGGCGACCATTGCTTCCATGGATTAATTTCCTCCCGGCAAATTTTCCATCTATGTTTTGCCAATAGAATTGGCCCAGCCACATTGCCAGCAAAACACCTCTTTGGTAGATTGTGAGGATTCCATTAGATCCCGTGTGGATCTCATGGAATAAAATCCGCCCTAGACTGACGAGGGCCATTAGCCCGAAACCATGGTCTCTAGGTGGACCCTTATCAGTTTGCCAAAGTTGGTGTTGTGGCTTTGTCACCGACCCGATGCCGCTAGTTGCGGCGACGGTCAATAGATGGCTTCAGATTCTGACGTTTATTTTGACGGAGAGGCGACCATTGCTTTCATGGATTAATTTCCTCCCGGCAAATTGTCCATCTATATATATATATACTAGACGTATGACCCGTCTTCGCCCGAGAATTCCCCCGATTGCAATTTCCTTCATACTGAAAGTGCATCAATAATAAATATTAGAAGTGCCATAGAATAGCAACACAGAAGTATCACATAAACTACAGGAAAAAAGTGTGTGTGATGGCAAAAATTGTATTATATTAGTGTTTAGGTAATTGATTTAATTAATATAGTTGATATAATAATATATATTTATATTATATATAATATAAATGAGTTTTAAAAATTGTAAAAAGAAAAATGCATCGGCCGGGAATCGAATCCGGGCCGCCCGCGTGCTAGCCGAGCATTCTACCACTGAACCACCGTTGCTTATAAAAATGGACATATTTGGGTATTCATTCCATTCCGGATTACTCCGCGTAAAAAAAAGTTTTTCAAATGAAAAAAAGAAATAGCCAAAAATACTAATCAAAATGTAGCCGAAAATTTTCCTCAGGTTTATAAAAAGCGATATGCAAAATTTGGTACCAATTGGTTCAGTAGTTTTTGAATTTATCGCGAAACAGACAACAGACATTGACTTATATATATATATATATATATATATATATATATATATATATATATATATATATGTCACATTCTGCTTATAAATTGTTAGTAGATGTAAATTTTTACGCCATTAAGAATTATGTAAATATTTGTAACGATAAAAGAGGCGCGTGATTGAAATAAATTTAGTCAGACGGTTGATTCTCTCTTTCTTTACGCAAAACAATATCATCTGCATATTGGCGTGTTACATATATATATAAATAAATGATACATTAGCGCGCCACCTGCTATGAGAATTCTAAACTATTATAGACACGTATGATTCTTTTAAAAATTAAACACTTTTCTACTGCATTTACTGCAATGTAAAAATTAATGGGAGTGCCTGGCTCATTACTGGTGAACGCACTGATGAGCCAGGCCCTCCCATTAATTTATCATTGCAGTAAGGACATGGAAAATTGTTTAATTTTTAAAAGAATCATACGTGTCTATAATAGTTTAGAATTCTCATTTATATATGTCATAATTTGTACATAGCTAGATGCAAACCCGACCCAATATGTATGAAATGTATGCTTTGAAAGATTTAATAAAGAACAAGGCTTAACAATCTGGAGAGAGAAGGCCTAGAGAGGACAATCATTAGCAGGATTTTATTATCCCGGAACTCATAAAAGTTGAGTTCAAGAAACTCGTGCTTCCTGGTCAGGTTAAAACAAGTCCAAAAGACAAATAATTAGCAAAGACCAATCAGGGAGCAGCATTTTAGCCCCGAGCCTATAGCGAGCTTACACGTCACGAATGTTCAGCCAATGAGCAATCAGAAGAGCTTTCTTCTTAAATCGAGAACACAGAATAAGTAGTTAAGAGCTGGATCGCACCGAGTTGAGAGCTGGACCGCACCAAGTAAGGAGCTGGACACCATCGAGTTAGGACCTGGACCTTGGAGCCGATCCCATCTCCCCAATTCTCAGATAAGTCAAACGCTCAACCATGCAATAGAATAGGATAGTCAACTTCGCTCAAATTCTCATCCCCTTCTCTCCCTCGATTAATTGCCTTTTTTTTCAATCCAATCAAAATTGTGTCTTCTCGTTATTTTCCCCTGTTGTGAACACCTGTCCACTCAGCACCAACGACTGCGCCAACGCCTCAACAATTATCAATCAACTCAAAACATTATTTCACCCGTTTTACCACATATATTTATTTTATATTACCCACACTCTATATTAATTCCTAATATATTATGGAAATTACATTGAAATTTAATATCAGACTATGTATCTCAAATATATTGTCTCTACCCTCCAAAAAGAATCCAACATTTTCAAAAGAATATAATTCAATTAAAAAATGTTTTGTCTGGTATTGTGTATGTGTTTGTGTGTGTGTGAAATTAGAGAGCTGACTTTTCTTTCAATAAAATAAACGCCCTGTATAAATTTAATCGTTGATCAATTTGAAGGGAAGATTTCTCCAAGTCCTTCATTTTAACTTGATTAAAGTCGTTGCCAATAACATTAAAAAAAAAAAAAGAAAAATTCCGAATACTTCATTTTGGTCATCTGTTTGAAGTTTTTTAGGCGATATCACACATATTATCTCATCGGGGAACTTTGTTTGGTGATAAATTAGACGGAATTGTGTAAGTAAGTTGTCTGTTTTTTATCTCTATAGTGAAAGAATTAAATTATAGGTCGTTTTTTATACATTTAAGTTTTCTCCGGAGTAACATTAAATATAATTTGGTGAGAATTTTCTATTGCCACATCTATATCTTTCTAGTGAATTAAATTACTTTTGGAGAGTTATAATACACATTCTATATTCTACACGTGAAAACTCATTTCGAAACCATTTTTCTAGTTTTCTAGGTTTCATATATTGTTGCACCAAGTTGCAGCTTTGCAGGGTCGTCGACCTTCCTTCCTTCTTGGTGTTATACACGTTTCCCAAACTAGTTTCCATATTCAAAGCGAATAAATAAAAGTAAATAAATTACCTTTTAAAGTTATTGTGTTTATTTATTCGTCGTCCTCCTCGTAGGTCGTAATCCGCAGTCTTCCTCTCGTTTCTCTCTCGCTCCAATAACCAATCAAGACATATGTACAATAAAATATTAAAAAAGGAATGAAACTATAAAAGAAATGATGATATTCTAAATAATATGTTTTGAATAATTATTAAATATCATTAAATATTTTGAATAAATGTAGGGCGCATTAAAATTGATGCAATAAAATATAGGATATCGATATGATTATGGGATAATATGGGTAATGCTCTAAGTATTATTTTATATGTTACATATGTTTTCCTTTATTTTAGAAAAATTGGTTATTTTAATAAAATTCCGAGTAAAAAGATTCGATGGTACTGTGTTTGCCTGGATTCCTCAGTAAGATGATGGTTGACCAAGTTGCTGCCTTGTTTGATCATCAGTACTACATCTCCAATCCCTACTTAGGTTCACCGATCAAATAAGTCTAAGAGTATCCCACGCGCATAAATAAAAATAAATTTTAAATTATCAAGTTTGATTTAACTCCGCCTTTGCCGGTCCAAAGCCAGGATGAAAAAAAAGAGGAAGGGGAGCAGTAACAAGTTCACTAAAAAACCTGGGTTCAGCTGGCCCGGCTGATAGTACCCTGTAAGGTCTTCTGATCCATGGATACAGTATGAGCAGTGTCTGTATTCCATGTTAGGAGCAGCTGCACATAGCGTCTGTTCCTCATGTCAGAGGCGACCATTTCTTTTGGAACAAAGTCGGCCTGCTACTGAGTAGTGCTCCCAGTCTTAATGATAAAGGCAGACGAATTCTATTTCACCCAATCATTATGGTTATCGCTTGATACCCTGATATGATTGAGTATAGATAAGAAAAAAAAAAGAAGTTTGATTTTTATAGGTTATAACTAATGTGTTTGAATGGATGAGAATTATGGTCAAGGGTCTGTTTTGCTCAAACACCAAGCTTGAGTAGGGTAATCCAATCTATTGATGAGGAATTTGGCTACTCTTGATTAGAATGGCAATGCTCACTTTTAACTGCTGTTGCATAGGGCAAGGACCAAACAATTCTTCTATATTAGGTATAGGCAAGAAGTTTTCAAATCAATATGCTTGAGGGATAAGTCTCTTTTAAATACATTTATTTCAAGCTTTCGGGCTCAACCGCCCTTCGACAGGAAACATTATATTAGCTACTGAAGTTTTTGAATCTAATCTATAAATACATTTGTGAGACGCCTGTGTCTCGAGTGTAATGCGAGGCTTGCCGCGGGAGGGGATGAGATCTTTGAAAAAGATGGCCGTTTAGCCCCTTGAAATATCGGAAATAAAAGATTATTTATTGAATCGCAGAGTTCATGATACCGAGGGGGGCTTGGTGGCTGCAGGGAATATTACATTGTAAATTTCAGGTAAATCAATTTTTCTATTGAGGCTATGGAATTTGCTTGATAGGATAGATTCAATGATTAGTCTTTGGTGTTTGTTGGCAATATTGGAATTAATAGGCAAGAAGTTTTGTTTCAACTTGACTATGTGCGTATTATTGAATTTTATCAATTTTAAATGGAAGATATTTTGTGTTTAATTTCAATTCATAATTACTTTTGTTATGATTGTATGTACAGTGTGCATTTAACAAGCAAATAAAAAGCTTCCAAAAGTCAATTATTACCTCAATTTATCTGTTATATTACAACAATATGATTCCAACACCATCACACATAGATATAGATAATACACTAACAGAGTTTTCAGTTGTAAAGTTTTAAACAATCTCCTCCAAATACACTGAACTATACATAGCGATCTATATACCAATATTTTCGCTTTTTTTTACTTCATATGTGGTATATATATTTTTATTCTCCAAATATTAGTAAGTATATTTATATATTATTTATTCTAAAGTCAGGCTTTCACCAAAGTGTACCTGGATCATGGTGCCATGATCAATGAAATCTGCACCCCCACACCCCATTCCAACAGCTCGAGGATCATGAACTCATGAAATTCTTGAAATATTTACACAAAGGGATAAGAAACAACATTATTCATTCAATTATCAAATCGCAGATTCTTTGCTTCAAATTCTACTTTATATATTCATCATTCCCAAATTGATTTATTTTAAAAATAAATGTGATTGTTTTATTGAAATTTATTAATTTCTAATGGCAGATATGTCGTGTTTCTGAATCAATTTTTAATTGTATTTCTGCTTATAAATATATATTTCGAATCCTGTCCACTTTCTTCTTTAGCTGTGGTATTCCGGTGGTCTGGTTTGTTGTATTGAGTCTTGGGAAAGCTGATGATTGCGCAGTCGTGATGGTGGTGAGTGGTAAAGCACACAGAGACGAATCACAGGGAATCCGAGGCATCAGAGAGAGGGAACGCAGAGACCAAGTTGCGGCCGGCGGGCCATCCACCCCGTTCACAAAGACTTACTAACGAGCTGTCTGCTACTTTGCATCTACTGAACTGACTGACTTGGCTGCGGGGCAAGCCCCTTTTATATGCTCAAGTGTTACGTCACCGGAGTCTGGCGCCGCAGTGTCACGACGGTTGACCTCATGTTTGCGGGGTAAGCTCTGACGTCATCGGACGTCTGACGCCGCTTGTCGGGGCGATTGACCTCATTGTCTGCGGGGTAAGCCCTTTTGGTTTATACGTTCCCTCTAGATGTACCTCTTTATTTAATTGAACACATAAAACGATACATACAAAGTTAAATTGATTAAAGGAGGATTGGGTACCATGATTAAAAGTCCATATTAGAGTAGGGGATGTAAGAA